GTTTAGGGTTTAGGATGGTTTGGGGCTCAAAGGTTGTGGACTTTGGGGTTTAGGCATTGGTGGTTTAGGGATTTTGGACAGTACCTGAACCCAGGGCAGGAGGCGGAAAAATGTCCCCAAACCCTAAACCCTAAACTCCCTATATAAACAGGACCCTAAACCCTATACCCTAAACCCTAAACCCTAAACCTCAAACCTTCAATGGGAGCCCCAGGCTCTCGGCTTGCGCTGATGCAGCTGCCTGGACAGCGGCTCTGGCCGTTCTTTCTAAGATGTCCTCTGGCCGAGCATAAGGAGAAAAATGCTTAGTTAACTGGAATTTGAAGGGGTTTATATCGGCCTCAAAGGCCCCTAACACCTAAACCTTAAACCCTAAACCCTAGACCTTAAACCCTGGTTTGGAGGGATTCTGGGGATGCTTGACATGCCGGCATAGGCTTTTCTCCCTACAAATGCACACACGTGGACATACATAGAATGCATAGATACCCTGGCATCCATTCGGGGTTTCGTGTTTAGGGTTCAGGGTCCAGGTGTCTATACGCAATACTTACCTAAGTCCCTGAGGTCTGTAGATAGTGCTGACTTTAGGCTTTCTTTGCTGCCCGGTGCTAGAAGTACATCTATCCCCACACCTCAAGACGTATGTACAAATACTTGTCTATTTCCTAGGGGATCCAAGTACCAAACTAAGGAGGTTTCAAGACCGTGGGAATTATGATGCCATGTTATACTAGGCTCAAGCAGGATCTTTACTATCAGCATCTTGGAATGTCTTTTAACCCTCAAGCTGCTCCCAAGCCCCTACAGCGTGCGTTGCCTACGTCCTATCGTTCCTTTTAGGCTCAGGCAACTATAGGAGTTACAATGTAGGGACCGTACATAAGCCTCATATGAGCCCTAATCTAAACTCCTTAAAGGGGGTCATATAATGTAGGGATTACTATAGGGCTTATTAAGGGGGATACTAGGACTTTAGACCATGGCTCATATACCCAATATGTAGTTCCCCATGGTCCCTATATACCCTTTCTATACCCGTAAAAGAATCCCTCCCCTTGGAAAAGTCCCCTCCTGTAGTTGATCCTATTTTAGCATCCCGAAAAATCCCCTACACCCTTACACCAGAGCCAAAGCCCCAGTATCCAGACCCAGCTGGTATGGTATTCCAAGTTGTCAGGAGGACAAGAGTGACAAAAACAAACGCACAAATCGCAAAGCCTGTACCCAACCGTACACCCCAAATCCTAAACCGCAAACCTACAACCCTGAACCCCAAGCCCTCAACCCTAAATCCTAACCCCCAACCCTAAAACCCTGAACCCCAAGATAGGCTTAGCAGAGACACGCATTGGCCTCCTCCAAACGCTGTGGGTTTCAGCGCTGCCCTCGCAGCCCTGGGTAGAGGCCCCGGCCGTGGGTTTGGGGTTTAGAGTCTAAGTTGTATATAGGGTTTGGGGTTTGAGGGCTCAGTAGAGTTTAGAATAGTCGCCCAAACCATCTTCCTCGCGGATGAGTCCCCCCACCCTCTCAACAACAAATCCCCCCATATAGTACCGTTAGAATGCACGGGAATATTTGGCATTTGGGGATTGGGGGCATTCCAAACAGGGGAGGGGGATTTTGGCAGAAGCTGAACGCCTGTGAACCTCAACGCACGAGCAATCTCATGGCTGCTGGACAAAATCCTTGGCATACTGTAATATTATAGATCTAGAGTTTAGGGTTCAAGTATACAGGTGCTACCATTTAATCTAGGGCTGAATAACCTATGCAGCGCTGTAAATCCTAAGCTGTAATTTTGGCTGTACGGGTAGCACCACAATTCCCGCGGCTTTGGTTGCCTTACGTAGCAGTCTTTTGCTCTGAAGTTCCCCCTGTGCTTGAAGGGGATAAGAGCACTGTTTAGGATTTAGGTTTTAGGGTTTGGGGTTTGGGGTCAGTTGTTTATTGTATGGAACGCCCCCCTCTACCGTCCTCCCCCCCCTCTTCCCCCCCTTTTCCCCCCCTCGCTCCCGTTGCCCCTAACACTAGGGACCCTAAACCCTTAACCCTAAACCCTAAACCCTAGGGTTTAGGGTTTAGGGTTTAGGATTAAGACGCCTTCAGCAACGCTTTCCGCACCTCCCACGATCCTCAGGGCTTTTGGGATTGACTAAAACGGGATGGTTTGGGGCCCAAAAACCCACAGGAGCCTTGGGATGGCAGATCAAAGAAGGTCTCCGGTCTAGGGTTTAGGGTTTAAGGGTTTAGGGTTTAGGGGTTTAGGGTTTAGGGTTTAGGGTTTATGGGATGTATTCAAGGTCCAGGGGCCTGCTGGACTACCACGCCCTTTGCCCAAATAAGGCTATGACTTTTTAAGGTTTCGAAATAGCATTTCAAACTAAACCTCCCGGCTTCAAGCTTACTATTTGGTGTTTGGATTTTGTGTCTACAGCTCTGAGGGCTGAGTTGGGGAAGGAGTTTCGGAGGGCTACCTTTGAACATCCTTTTCTGGGGCAAAATTTGTAGGTTCTCCCCAGTCTAGGGCCCCAAAACCAAAACACATTAAAACCAAGGTCTTCCCAATTATGGCCTGGAGCAAAATAAGCAGCAGCCAAAACGCCTTGAACAGGGTCTCTTCACTCAAGCCAATGCAACATTACGCCACTTTTGGGGCCTTGCTAAATACCAAGAAAATGGTTGTAGATTCCTGGTATAAGTATGGCATATGCTACCTCAAACAGACCTTTTGTTTATGATTTTTGTCATTTTGCAGGCTTTTAAATCACGCCGAAACTCCAAACCCTAACCAAGAAAAAGCGGCTGCTCGGGAGAGCTTTCGCTGCCGTAAGCCCTGATTTCCTGGATTGTTCATGAGGTACTGTGGAGGGTTAAATACTCCCTTATATTAAGCCTCCTAATATTCCATATTTCGGATACATTAAATTGCAACATATTATCATGGAAGTATGTACTATTTGGGTTAGGGAAAAATTTTTTGAAACTCGGAGGGAGATGACTAGAAGGTAAGGAAGGAAAATGAGGAAACCACCCCGCCCCAAAACCCGCGCGCCTCACTAATTTCACCGGCTTAGTGTTTAGGGTTCCTGCACTTTGACGGTACAGGTACTTTGAAATTTGAAATGTGGCCTTTTTTGGGTCTTCGAATCGTATGTCTGCTAATGACCAAATATGCCAGGCACCGAGAGAGGGACCATCATTTTGACACGCCCCTTGACACAACTCCCCCCTGAATGTGCTGTTTGGATACCCGGACCTTTGGGGAAAGGCAGCTGCAGCCTTCAAATGTAAACGCCAAACAGTTGAGGATTAGGGCCTGGGGTTTCGGGCTAGGCCTTCGCCTTTTGCGGGTAGGATTGTTGCGGCCTGGGACACAGCGCAGAATAACGCTGACAAAAAGCATGAAACATCATCAACATCAGAGGATTGTCAGTCAGATAGCAGTAAATCTGGTTGTGTCGAAGTCTATGAGAAGTTTCGGAGTTATACGTTTACACCGCTCGCCACAAAAAACAAACCCCGACATGTGAACTCTTAACCCTCAACCTGAATCCCATTAGCCAAACTCCAGACCCCAAACCCTAAACTCCTGAACCCCAAGCACTGAACCCGAAACCCTACATCCTGTGAAAACTCTACGTAAGGCCGAGATAACCCCATGCAACCATGTCTCCCACCCCTAAGTAGTGTCGATGTGGTTTCCAGTATCTTTCCGTTTGTTTTCCATAGCCCGAACCACTACATGCTAAACCCTAAACCCGTAAACTTTAAACCCCCAAACTCCTAAACCCTTAAACCTAAACCCTTGAGTAAGCCCTAAACCCCTTCACCCTAAACCCCTTCCCCGTAAACCCGAATCCCCTAAGCCCTAAACCCTAAGTGAGTAGTTTAGGGTTTTGCCCCTGGCTTGGTGCAGTACCAGTGCCCTCGCCAGGCACACGGTGGTCAACCGCTTTGGATCTTTTTGCAGCTCCTGGGCCTCATATACCTTGCCTTAGGTTAGGGGGTTTGGGGTTCAGGGGTTTGGTTTTAGGATTTGGGTTTCAGGGTTTAGGGTTTGGGTTTCAGGGGTTAGGGTGTGGGTGTTAAGGGTTTGGGTTTAGGGATGGGTTTAGGGTTTAGAGTTAACTTGCACACTGCCCCCACTGAGCAACAGTTTGATAATGTTTACCCTAAAATTCTGTGTAGCCTCCTGTTATTACACAAGAATTCTAAACTCTAAAACTCTCTCACAAACTACCTCAATCACATACTGTTACTGGGTGGGGTCAGCACCCAGGGCTTAGGATGTGCAGTAGGGTTTGGAGTCTAGGGCCTCGAAGGTTTTTCAGGATTCAGGGCTTTGGGTTACTTATTTATCCGGTCTCACAAGAGGTCTCGTATGGTTTTTCTTCGGTTGTGTTTCTGGCAACCTGTCTGCTTTCATAACCCTGAATCCTAAACCCTGGTTTAAGAGCTTTCTACCGTCGCTGCACAGGGAAAAGGGACCTGGCAACAAAACAGTTCATGGTGTCTTGGCCTTTCGAGGTATCGATGCGGCCCGGACTACATGACTAAAAGAGGAATATCTTGGCCGTTTTTGTATCTGGGATCCTCGTTTCCCTAGCTGGGCCCTTTGTAGAACTGATGTTGCATACAACCCAAGAACCAGCTATCGAGATGACTGAGCTTGTAGGACTGCTGGGTGTGAGGGCAAGTTGCGAAATAGCATGGAGTTGCAACCCGACGTATCTATACAGGAACCTCTCGGTTCCAAATGAAATCCCATTCCGGGTTAGGGTATAGGGTTTAGCGTCTAGAACCCTACACCCTAAAGCCCTAAACCCTAAACCCCTAGACCCTAAACCCTAGACCCTAAACCGCTATAGGGATCCTGACCACACCCTGACCCCTCGCGTGACAGGACATCAGCCAGCCCTCCATGTCCTGCTTTGGGGCAGCCGCCGCTGCGTGCGAGTTGGGTTTGGCGACTTGCCGAATGGTGAATTCCCTAAATTCATTATATAAGTGTCGTTTGGGGATTAGGGTTTAAGGTTTCGGGGCTAGTGGGGTTCTGCTAAGGTCCTTATATCATCTTCCGGCATGTTGGCAACAGTCATTTAGGCCAAGTCTCGAACTTTGGTGGCCCACAATTACATGAAGGTTTATGGGCTTGAGATTCTACAGTTTAGGGGTTTTAGGGTAGAGAATTTACAGAGCGTAAGCAGGGTAGATGTGAGTGGGTTTTGAGTATTCGAAACTAGGTACTTCTTCCCACTGCAGTCTACTCCCCAAGTAAGGTTTTGGAGAGATTGTTTGTTCCCTAAAGCCCTACAGCTTAGAAACACTATATATCCCAAACCCCTATGAATGCTGCAAACCCTATGAACTCCGCTAGCCCTATTAGCCCTGAGGCTTTGATCCCTCAACGTTGAACCCAATCCGCAAATCACCTCAATCCTAACCTAAAGCCCATGAACCCCATAAAATCTATTAACCCATAAACCTCATAAGCCCCATCAAACCCTATAAGCCCCATTAAACCCTTAAATCCGAATGCTGCATGCCGGAAACTAAAACCCGGAGCTCGATACCCTAAGACCTGAAATCCCGGTGCATGGTCTGTTTACATCGTTATGTAATTATGGGATCCTTCAGGGGGGCGCATAATTAAGGCTTTGTAAGACCTTTTCAAGGCCTCCCTAAGGCTCCCCAAGGTCCCAAAAGGTCTCCTATTCTGGGGCCCCTTACATGGGGCCCCCTTAGGGCTTCCATAATGTAACCCTCATGAGGACCTTAAAAGGGAGCCGTAGTTTTCGGAACTCTCAAATCCCAATCCGAAATCCTAAGCCCTACTGCGAATAGTACTTTATGTTTCCATTTCCTAATAATAGCTTGTATTCCGAGTTGAGCCCTAAAACCCCAACCCAACACCCTAAATCCCTAAACCCTACACCCCTAGGCCCTGAACCCTAAATCCCTCAACCTCCTAATCCCAAGGCCTGGGAGTCTGCTCTGACGCTGTTGACACGGCTTGCGCCGCTGCGCATCTCGGGCGGTGAAGTTCCCAGGTTGCTAAAGCTTCAACAAATTAGGGCTTAGGATTTATGGCTTAGGATTCAGGATTTAGGGTCTAGGATCTATAGAGGGTTTGGTTTAGGATTTAAGGGTTTAGGTTTTAATTGGGTTTAGGGTTCAGGACATAACGGAATTTACATTCAGTTACTGTTACTGATAGGGAACAGAAAAGAAAGTGGAAACTACCATTCATGGGTTTAGGGTTTACCTGTAACCCCAATAACCTACAGTTTTATGGGTTATACCGTTATACCTACAAACTAAGGGGTACTTACTACTAAACTGTAGGTTATTGGAGCCACCGGTAGGGTCAGGGGTGAGCCAAAGAACAGGATATCGTACATGCAATTTTCGGGGACGTACACAGCTACAGATTCTTTGGGCTTTGCGCACCCGAAACCCTAAAGCTTAACCGTGAGTCAGTAACCCATAGTCGCTGTGGCCCTTTGGTTCCATTACTTGTATTGCGTAAAGGGGCCACAGGGTAAAGGGTTTAGGGCCTTTGAACAGCACAGGCGTTCTTGTAACCATTGCATACAGAGATTACAGGAACCTTCGCCCGAGGTGACAATGCTGGTGTGCCTCTCCAGTTAAGCTATAGTCTAAACTCCTTAATGGGGGGTTATATTGGGGGATTATATATGGGACTACTATAGGGGATATTAAGGGGGATACTAGGAGTTTAGACAAGGGCACAGTTAAACCCTAAACCCTAAACCACATCGCAAAGATAGCCTGTGTGACCAGAACAAGATGGAGAGGTCTTGTGAGTTCCCCTACCACCTCATTCTATACCTCTAGCTTCCCCCGCTAATTAGGCATCCTTGGGGTTGCTTGGATTCGTATAGGGTGGGGTTTAGGGTTTAGGGTTTAGGGGGTGGGGTGGGGTGGTGAAGGGAGCCCTTGAGATGTCCCAGGCCCAGATCAAGCACTATTGAATGCCATCCTCGGTGCGTGCGGAAGCTCATCTGAACAGTTTGGGGGTCATTGTCCCCCTTAAGTAGATAGAATATGGCTTGGGGTATGCTATAACCAGATCCCCATATACCCCATATTCTATCTGCTTAAGGGGCAGTGCTTAAGGTTTAGGGTTTAGCATGTAAGGTTTAGGGTTTAGGGCTTCAGGTTCTCAGTCTGAGTGAGGATGCAAGCCTGATGATTAGCAACAACACAGATGTAAGCACAAGCTGTTGGCTTGGATATCTCTGCCTGTTGGTTCTCAGGGGCCGTAAATGGGATGTCCGTATCTACCTGTTTGCTGGTTTTCCGCTTTCTAGATTAGCGGTGACAAGAAACATGGTGGGGACACTTGCTGGTTCACGACAAGGGCAATTGCCGGCTTCAGGACAAGGGATAATGGCGACTGCAGGGGAAAGTCGCGACCAGGAAATCAAGCAGCGTTTAGAGTTGCTCCCTTACAGGCTTCAAACCTGGAAGGTTATGCAGTGCTTTGGTACGGCTCATCCTGCTCGATGACGCTTGCAACCTTTGGGAGTTTGGGCTTTAACATTCAGAGCTTTGGGTTTGGAAGTTTACGGCTGAGGGGTTTAGGTCCTAGCTCTTCAGAAACAGGGGGGTCCAATGTGAACCACAACATACTATACTTCAAGTGAGAATTGATGGGAAACCCGACATAGGTGACTACACTAATCTCCTTGAACAGCGGGCTGAGGCGCGTCGGCATGTGTTGATTCCCATCCTGCTGCCTATTTTGCTTGATTTCGAGGGCTTATGCGATCTAGATTGAAACACTGACCCAAAGCCGCATAAGCGCATACCGCGGATACTGCACGCCGCAAAGCCCCGCAGGGCGCAAATGTCTAATTAGCATTACACTGGGCTCAAAGTATCTATATCGAGCCAGCTTTGAGCCCATATTGCATCCTTCTCTCCAGCGGGTGCATGCCTCAAACCCTACACCCTAGAACCCTAAACCCTAAACCCTAGACCCTACAACCCTGACCTTCGCCCAGGGAAGGGAAACCAATGGGCACTTAGCCATTGCCTGTTGCGACAGAGAGCCTAGCCTCATTTAAGGTGTAGAGTTGAGGGCTGCAGGGTTTAGGGTTTAGGGCCTAAAGCCTCATTTGGGAGTTTCCCAAAATTAGGGGTACCATTTTAGGGGTCCCAATAATAAGGACTCTAGTATTTTGGGGTCTATATTGGGGTCCTCTTATTTTGGGAAACTACCATTTAAGGTGTAGAGTTCAGGGCTGCAGGTTAAGGTGCACTCTAAGGGGATTCTCAGCGGGATCGGTCCTTTCTTGAGGCCCCCTTGAGCACGAGGTAGGACGACCTTAACTTCAGTAAGTTCAAGCTATATCCATATGTTAATTTGTGTTTCTATGTTTGTGTGCAGGGGGGCGAGGGAATAGGCCTTTAAACGTTTAGATTTTAGGGGCCGTGCTACGCCTTTTTGACAACCTACTTTAGGGCAATCTCTTCTACAGGAATAGTTCCTCAATATAGAGTGAATAGGGCCTTAATGTGCCCACGCTAGTCCTTTGTGGTACCCATTACTGGGGGGATTTACTGAGAACCCATTTCATTGAGGGTTTACTGTTATTGGACTTGGTGGTTTAAGGGTCTCTGACCTAGCATGTAGAATCCCCATCATAAGTGGAGGGTTTGGGAGTCAGGAGAAAATCTATAGGGTTCCTTGGTGCCTAGGAAATGATTTGAGTAGGTGAGGTTCAAACTAGAAAAGAAGATGGAAATTGACATGGAGACCGTGGTGCTTAAATCAAGCTATCACATTACTGACATAAGGTAAATCATCGGATTTCATACTATTGAGCCACGGACGAAAGTTAAATTAAGCGGGACCTATAGGGGATGTATAGAGGGCTTTAGGGGGGGGACCTTGAAGGAGCATACTATAACTGTACTGGCTTGCTGTTAAGGAACTTAAATTAAGTTTACTATATTGGGGAAACCCTAT